AATTCAGTTACTGCCTTATGGTGTGCTTTTAATATCCTACTATGAACGCTGCCGCACCCTATATTTTACGCATTTGTAAGACATCAGAAGTTCAAATTATTGCAGATTTCGTCTGTCTTAGATCATGATTTCTAATATTTATTAATTATTTCCTTCCGGCAATTTATTTAAAAGAGAATAATAAATTTTTTTGCGTATAAAATACTTGTATATCTGAATTTTAACTATTTTTTACATAATGACAAATTTTACTTCCTCTTATTTTTGAAACCATAGAGCTACTATTCATTACCTGAAAAAATATGTGCAACAAATACGTATTAAGATTATATGTGTCTTATTAAGAGTATAGTGAAGAAACTGCCAGTGTTGAATATGTTGGTCACTAAGTAATTATCGTTATTTGAATGTTTTAATTCGAAAAGATTCGCTACAATTGTTTTATTATAGATAATGAATGAATTTAATATAAATTTGTTAAATAATGTAATATCAGCGGAGTTGCCTTATTTTTTTTTCCAATGGCAGATTGTGAACAATTACAAATGTAATCCAGTCCATTAATCTATACAAGGCCGGATGTGGTGGCCTCTTTATTATGGAGGCACCTAATAGGCGGGCCACCATCGCCTTTCCTATGAAGGGACGGACAGTTACAATCATGCCTTCTCCGGGATTCGAACCCAGACCCTTCGGCATCGCAGTCAGCTTCTCTGACCACCATACCGACTGGGCGGCTGCCTTATTCTAATATCAGTTAAATTAATGACTGATTAAGTGTACTTTATTCTAAGAAAGATTTAAGAATAATATAACTTCTTTCATAGCTTAATGTTATATAAGCTTAGTTTTTCTATGCATTTTTCGTCGTATATAACTGATTACAAATGAGCACATGCAATGAACAAAATACACAAAGTAAACAAATTAAAATTAGTTTATTATTTACTAAACTGCATTAGTTACGAAGTTTAAGTTACAAAAAGTGTGCTTATATTTAAATTTGTTGTTATTTGTAAATTTCTCTATGGTCTTCCAACGCTTCAAGAGCATATATCAGAGGTGTCGTATATGCCTGCCACTTTCAACTTTTCCAAAGTACTAAAAATTATAAAAACATGAAAAAATGTTATGAGCTTTTAAGGTATTTTACCCGCCTTCGTAGTGTAGTGGTCAGCACATTGAGCCGGTATTTCAAAGGTCCGTGGTTCGATTCCCGGCGAAGGTTTTGCTCATTTTTCATCTCTCCTGCTTTCTTGACGAAATGGAAACTGTCCGAGTTTTGCGTGCCGTTGTTCGTTCTGTGTGATTTTTCGAGTTTTATGAAAAACGATGTAAGGTTTATCATAAGTTTTTAACAGATATCTTTAGTTAAAGCTACGTTCCTATCTCTCCTAGTTTCAACTTAACAATTTCTTGCCAGAGTGTGTTTTTAGAATCGCGATTAATGCAAATGAGGAAGAGCGGTATTTATGTCAAAGTTCCACTGACTTCGTTAAAGAGCCAGAGATTCTGACTAGCGCGCGTTTGCCACTTGGCTACACTCTCTCTAAGCTATTACTACGATCGGCCGTATTTCAGGCCCTTGATAGCTTCGCCAGATTAGTAGGTATTTAGGGGCCAACTACTTAGAATTTTGATAGCTTCAGCTATATTTTTTCAGACAAGCATTAGTTAAGTTTCATTTTTTAGTACTTCTGAGTTCAAGCCCAAGTGGAGGCTTTTCTGTACGCTCTAAGAAAGGAGCCGACTGTGAAATTCTTATTTTGAGAAATAAAGGGTAATTAACTCTTCTTGAGTTTACGCCTCTATTCCTGAACTAAAGCGATTATTCGCTTACCAGTTCACAAGGTTCCTACACAGCTGGGAAAAGAAAAGGTTGGAACCCCGCATACTCTTTTTTGAGGTAATTTGTCAAAGATTTTACTTTGTGCGCCCGCTTTCTGCTAATTTAAAGAATCATCGATGCTGTTGCTCTAATCCGTTGCTGAATTGGCGTGAACACAGCAAATTATTGCACAAACGTTTGCCGTATTAACAAAGCTGGACACACAGAACAATTATAAAATATGTAAATAAATTATATTAATGAATTTTCCTCTATTTTGGTGCAATAAAATTTTGTGTCAGTTACATAGTTGGACTGGGAATTTTCAAATTGTTTCAAAAAATTATGAACTACTGTATATTGATAAATGTTATTAATTTCAAAGTAATCCTTCATAAAGTTCCTGTTAATGTATTTATTTTCTGCAAACGTTTAATAAGCTCTGCATTTCGCCATATCACATAGGTATGTATTTGTGATAGGTTTCTTTTTTCTTCATTACATGGAAGTAATTATATTACGTCCATAATATAGTACAAAAGTATCCAAAAAAAAAAAAAAAAAAAAGGCAGTTACGCGTTTCTCGTCTTAAATGTATTTCCCTTTAAATACACTCTTTTGCAAAAAATCTAAGCACCAAGAAGGACTTTTGCAATTGTGACGAAATTTGGTATGCATAAAGATTTTGATCGAACATGGAAATGATCAAAGTTTCAAGGCAAATGAGCAGGAATTGTGATCATGGCGCGCCTGTCGAGTGCGCAGTTCGCAAAGTATAAAACCAGTAAGAGAGACGAAAAATTATCCCCTTTTTTTTTTTTTTTTTTTGTTTTGGTTGTTGTTGTTATCATTGCAATTCCGTAAAGACTAAAAAGCAACTAAAAATGCCATTACGACGATATCGAAGACCTTACAGACAACTAAACGACTCCGAACGTGGTCGCATTGTAGGGTTGCGTGAAGCTGGGTGGTCATACCGAGCAATAGGCCGCTACCTGCAGCGTACAGACATTGCTGTGCAAAGATATTGGCAGATGTTGGTGCAAAGATGTTCGTTGCTATAAGGAAATTGCCGGCGAAATTAAGGCTCTTGAAGGCCAAGGAGCACAAATGCGAGTCAAGATAGGATGATTGTTCGCCAGGCCCGAACCGCACAACGCTATCATTGTCGACTACTCAACGCACTACAGCCACGTCTATGCCATCCACCATCACACGACGTTTGTCTGAGGCGGGGTTACGCTCACAGAGGCCATTCAGACGTTTGCCTTTGACCCACGACATCGGCGGAGTCGTCTGGAGTGGTGTCGCAGCCGATCATTATGGCTGCCATCAGACTGGCAGCATATAGTGTTGAGTGATGAATTCCGCTTCACTCTTGAAGCAGATGACCACCGAGAGGACGGGGCCAGCGGTCCCAATCAGCCTTTGTTTTACAAAGGCATACAGCCATAACCCCTGGTGTGATGGTGTGGGGCGCTATTTCTTATGACAGCAGGCCATCTTTAGTCATCCTTCGTACATCTTTAACAGCTCAACGATATGTTGATACCATCCTGCGGCCGGTTGAATTACCCTTCATGGCACGTCATCCTCGGGCCATTTTCCAACAAGATAATGCCAGGCCACATACCGCACGCATATCTCTGGACTGTCTCCGTGCGTGCGGTTGATACTCTTCGTTGGCCAGCAAGGTCAAAAGACCTTTCACCAATCGAGCATGTCTGGGGTATGGTAGGCCGCCAGATTCGGGCACCACAAAATATCGCAGATCTGGAGCGACAATTGATGAATGCCCGGCAGAATGTGTCGCAGGATGACATTAGGAACCCCTACCACTCCTTGCTAGACGAATTCAAGCATGCATTGCCTCCAGGAGCGGTTCGACCAACTACTAATTTGAACCCTCAATGGGTGATTGTGAGCTGTGAACAGGTACTATGACCTTGATTTTTTAATCATTTTATTATCTGTGTATGAGCTATACACATAAGGAAGTCCCCAAATCAAATAAAAAATAAAAGAGGTTATAACCAATTAAAATTAGAAGTTCGGTTTCATAATTTTATCTTTATATATATATATAATTAAAAAGCTAGGTAGTAATTACTTTCTTTCCACCGACAGCGAGGCAGCCGGTCCACTGGGTAGTTAGCATATCGGCCAGGTAGCCCCGCTGACGGAAATAACTTGAACAAAATAACACACTTATAAATACATATTGTGCTCAAGACGACTGCTGAGGCATTGCAAACAAATGCTGGACGAAGACGATAGTGCATGATGGAAGAAGGGTGCATTGCTGGTGAGAAGAACAATTTCAGTTACATATTTACAGAGTTATGGATAGGTGGTTACAAATACAAGAATACTAGAAAAAATATACATAAAATTAAAAAAGGCAAAACAGTGGAACACATAAAATAAGGCAAAATACATAATTCAGGTTTACAGTTCAAGGAGATAATATATACAGGGAATAAGAAAAGCCGAATAAGTTAACTTAGATAAAATTAGTTCACTAAGGTACAGAGCATACAGGGGCTGTGCTGGTGACGAGGATGGTAGCTGAGAATTACTCCAGCCTGTATAGTTTTGCGTGCAATGGTTATGCAAATCGCATATGCGTTTCAATGCATTGCGATTTTTTTGAAGTAGCTTCGGCCCATGCATGGATTTGGTTTGCTACTGGTTGCCTAAGATGATATTTGGTGGTCTCTCTGCAAGCGAACAGATAGTGGTCCGGATCTCCTACCATCCCGCATGAGCAATGCTCGTTTTCACGTCGTCTGAAGCGATGCAGGTAAGTCATGAAGGGACCATGTCCTGTTAGATACTGAGTGAAGTGAGACGAGCCAGATTTTACCTCCCCACCATGGGGAACGCTCAGGTAATGAATTTCCATGTTACCTCTTTGGATGTCAAGAAATCACTCACACTTGGATCTGCTTTGATTCTTTTAAATCCTTTAATTATTTCACATGTGCTGCGGAAATTCTTGGCATTATCTGAATAAATCACTTTGCAGCTCCCTCTTCTTGCTAAAAAACGTCTTAATGAAAAAATGACACTTTTTGCTGACATATCTGAAACCACTTCAATGTGTACAGCACGAGTGATGGCGCATGTAAATAAGGCTATGTACACCTTTTTGTGATTACCCGCTTTTTCTCTAATAGTAACTGCTCCTTAAGTCGATGCCTGCAACTGTGAAAGGATTACTTTGGACTACACGATCTCTGGGTAACTGACCCGTTAACTGTTTGGCGGGCTTCACTGCAAACGTTTTACACACCAGGCAAGCGTTAATAACTTTCTTTACTACTTGTCTTCCTTTAGGTATCCAAAATTTATTCCTGACTTTGGACAATGTTGCCATGACTCCTGAATGGAATACTTTTATGTGATCACTAAATATCACTAGTTCGGTGAACTTCGTTTTGGGCAGAATAATGGGATGTTTTTCGTCATCTATTAATTCTGCTTGTTCCAAACGACCTCTGACACGCAAAATACCTCTACTGTCCAGATATGGTGCTAAACTGTAAAGCTTAGAATCTGGTGTTATTAGATTATTCCTCTCTAGTTGTTGAATATCCGAAAAGTAATTCGCTCTCTGTACTTGTTTTATCCAGTACTCCTCAGCTTCTTGGATCTCCAATACAGTAAGAGGACCTTCTTCACAGGCACGTTTTCTTAGCTTGGCGACAAACCGATTTACCCAAGCTGTAACTCTCAACAATTTTTCGAGATTGCTGAATTTGGTAATGTCTAACGCATTTTCTTCTTCTGGAATAGTCACCTGAACATAAGTGCTTAAACGTTCCAAATTTTGAGTATCAGTTTTCTACTTTAAACTTCTGCTCAGGCCATTGATCTTCAGAATCCTTCAACCATGATGGACCATGCCACCAGTTATTATCTTTCACCAATGCATTTGCTGTTTCACCACGAGTTAATTTTATCTGCTGGGTTTTCCGACCCTGGACAATATTTCCACTTATCAGGCGGGTACAGTCTTGTATTTCTGCAACTCTATTCGACACGAACTGTTTCCACTCACGCGCTGACCCCTTTATCCACCACAAGCAAATTTCGGAGTCCGTCCACAGAACTAACCTACCTACCAAATCCTAAAACATTTTCAATAAATATTTTCCTAACCTAGCTGCAACTACAGCCCCCATCAATTCCAACCTAGGGAGGGACAACTTTTTTAACGGAGCTATCCTACTCTTCGACATTATAAACGACGTACATACCTCTCCTCTCTCATTCTTATATCCAAAATATGCCACCGCTCCATATGCCACTACTGACGCATCACTGAAAATATGAATTTCAACCGACTGACCGTTACTTAGAACTTCTGTAAAGTAGTACCTCTCTATTTTCAACGCGTTTAATTCCTCAATTTCAGCGCACCACTTTATCCATTTGCACCGTAACTCCTTTGGCAACTCTGCATCCCACTCCAAACCTCTCTCCCATATTTCCTGCATCAGCCTCTTAATTCGCACCACAAATGGAGAAATAAATCCGACTGGGTCAAACACCTTAACTGCTGTGCTTAACACCGATCTTTTACTATTTCTCAACGATTCCAAACTACTCAACAATGATGTAACGTCTACTTTCAAACCATCCTCTTCTAAGTTCCACACCAAGCCTAACACTTTCAACTTACTATCTCTCTCAGACCTACTTTCTTCACACAACCCTTCCTGAACCCACAAGTCATACAGCTCTTTAGAATTAGTGTTTAGCTTTCTCAAATTAAAACTCGCGTCTCTCAAAATAGATACCGCCTCTGATGAAAGACTGAAAGCTGATTCTACACTTTCCCCTCCATAACACAAATCGTCTGCATACAGTGAGCTATTTAGCATCTCGACACAGTTTTTGTTTGTTTCCGCATATGTCTTTAAATGATGTTTGATCGTTGCACTCAATAAAAACGGTGAACAATTACATCCAAATAATACTCTGTTCATTTGCATAATTTTAAAGTCCTCACTGTCATTATCAGGATACCAGAGAAATTTTAAATATTGCCTATCTTCCCTTGCTATCCCAATCATCAAAAACGCCTTTTCTATGTCACCGCAGAATCCAATTTTAAATTTTCGAAAGGAAAGAATGATATCCAAAATATTCGGATTTAGGTTTGGGCCCTTTTCTATAGCTTTCCTCTTTCGCTACTGCTGCAATTAAACTGCTGCATTCGAACTTGAGTGCTTTTTTTATCTTTACGGACCACTGCTCGGAATGGCATAAAGTATCCCTCTCTCGTATCCTTACACTCTTGAATAATGTTGTTTTGTCTGAAATTTAATTATTTCCATAAACTGTTCCCTCACAAAGCTGTTACCTTTTAACTCTCGCTGCACCCTTTCGAACTGCCTTTTCGCTAAACCAAAATTATTTTCCAAATGCTCTGGACTCCTATTCCACAACAAGCGAGCCTCATACCTTCCGTCTACATATTTCAAATCCTCTTCAAATTGTTTAATTATTCGCTCATTGCCAGAACTCCTTTCCGACGCGCACTCAGAGATTCCTAGACTTTCAATCTCCCAAAGCTGACGAATCTGATCCGATATTTTTAATTCCTCTTCCGAATCGATGTGTATAAACAAGCCGGTGGAGTCTGACCCTGAACTTAACTTCTTACTCCCCCCCCCCCACTCTACCACTCAACGTCCAACCGAATATGCTTTCATGCAGTACTAAATAGTCTGTTAACCGATGTGTTTTCCCGTTAAAATGCAGTTCAAGTAATCATTCCCAATTAAAATCTGTACCTCTGCCACTTCACTATCGCAGCTGTCAGATAAGTGAAATCCTTGTTGGCGAAGCTTGTTTATAATTTCTGCAGATGGCCTGGGTAATGCATTGGAACATATGGTTTTTACTTCGAGTGCTTCGATGATTAGAGTGAACCCGGTCTTATTTTTTAAAGAAAGTCTTTTCCTTTTAAATTCTCGCACTGGCGGATTCGAAGATGCAAATGTATGAATTCTTAATCTTTCTTTACCAATAGTTGGTAAACTTGCTTTTCTGGAAATAGACTGACAAACATAAGATCTTTCGGAAGCTGAATCGCATAACAACCTAACGTTAAATGTGGAATTATTTCCTACCAGTTGACCTCTCAATGTTTGATAATAAATCACGTCGTTAGGAATTTGCTTGCTCAGTGTTTCGAGGAATAGTGAACTAACGTTTGTCTCTTTTGCTGCGCTCGCAGTATTTTTAATGGATTTATTTTCTTGCCCTTCTGCATCACACAGGCTCTCTAAATGCGACAAAGATTTGCAAATATTACATTTAACCCATTTTGCCTTACAAAATGGTTTTTTGTGACCCTTTTTTAAACAGCGCTTGCACTTAAATTGATCGTATAATGCTTTGTGTTTCTCTGAAATACTTAAGTCGCAGTCTTTTGAGAGGTGAGATTTAAGACAAAAGTCGCACATATAATTTTCGACTGATGTATTAAGCGTCGTCGCTGATACCATTTTCTTTTTAATTGGAGCAACACTCTTACGATAGTTGTCGGTATTTCTTTCACTGGTTATCGAAAGTGTTTGTTGTTTAAGACCCAGAGTTAGTGACTTTTCGCGCGCTTCTACTTCTCTCTTTAGAAACAACAATAAATCTGACACTGTTGACTCTGTGTCGACCTTTTGCTCCCTACTAAACTGTAACACTAAATCTTGCGGTATACACTTATATAAAATAGGAAGTAATAGATTGCCATAAGAATTAAAATTAATATCTAATGTCTCTAAACTTCTTGTTTGAACTTTTTCATCATATAGTTTCTTAAACTGGATACATCACTTGAACGGCGTACTGACTCTAAAGCTAGGAGAACGTTCATATGCGCGCTAACTAATATTTCTTTTTTCCCAAATCTGTCAGTTAAGATTTCGATGGCCTTTATATAGTTTTCTCCTATTAATGGCAATCCGCTTATAGCTTTTGCAGCTGAACCGGTGAGTAAAGATCTTAAATAGTTAAACTTCTCAACATCTTGAAGCGTATTGTTTTCGTGAATGGCAGCTTTATACTGAGCCCAAAATTCAGCAATATTTACATAAATCGCCGCTTTCTAAGGTAATGCGTTTTCTAAGGTAATGCGGTAAGTTTCTAAGGTAATGCGAGGTAATTTAGTATTATAATTAAGTTTTGATTTCCGAAACTTGTGAAGTTGTTCCGGTTTTACCCAGATTTTGAATATATTCTATTGACTTTCGATTTACATCTAATGATGGATTCGCTGTATTCTAAACAATGTTCTACTTCTGTCTCTAATTCCTGAACAGTGCTTTGAGCATTAATAACTTCATCATATTTTAACAAGCTAATTTCTCTCTCGATTAACACTGAAAGCGATTCCTGCAACACTTCTAGGTTCGGATTCTCGCTTTGCAATTCCTCATCTAATTTCCTTATTAATTTTGTTACACTGGTACGAACCGAACCTCTAATTTTTCTATTTCTCTCGACGGTTTCTTCAAAACTCATTATCAAAGATAAATTGCATGCAAATAAATGAAATGACTCACTTTCCCGGCCGATGCACCAAAAACTTGATGTATGTAATAACTTACATCTTCTTTATCGGTGGTTCTTGTGTTCTATTGGCCAAACAAAGACACTTTCCTTTAACTAAATCTATTTAATGAAGAGAAGACTATGTACAAATATTATATAGTACAGATTACAGAGTATCTAGCTTATGCCACTCTCAACCACTCTCATCAACCTCTCAACCCTCTCTCCCGAAACTCTTAATTAGCTAAACATACGGACGGCGCAGCGCCCTCTATCTCTTTTTCCTACATAGTTAAACATCATTTATTTTTGGATGACGAATTTTTTAGCACATATCTTCATAACTTGTAGAATATTAGGGGTGCTTAACATGCCCCATAATTTTCGATAGGCAATTACATTTTAAATAATGGCGAATAGTTAGCACAGGCTAAGCAACACGGTATCAGCAGGCAGGCGAAAGAGGCAAAAGAGAGAGAGACTGTGCAGTTAGTAGGCTACTTATAGATATATTAGTTATACTAGATAGGTGCATCAGTACACCTAATCTATGATTGGTTAATTTTGGGTTTTAGTTCCATTTTTCAAGCAGCATTATATAACATGGAAAGATCTCGAATTTGGGAAAACAGATGACTTTAGGAGGAAAACATAAAATCTAGAATAGTTAATTTTGAGGTCACCAATCGTTTCTTAAAGCAGCCTTCGTATTTCGTTATAGCTTACATATTTATGTATAATTTCATAGAGAAGTATAAAGTCGGAACGTAAATTAAATATAAAGGCTCCAAAAAAAGGTTTCAAAAAATATATAGGCTAACCCATTTTTTATCTCCGTGAAATGGTAACAAAAACCGAGTAATGTCATTGAACGGTACTAATTAAAAAACATAAGTGATCCAAAGAAAATCATAAAAACTAACAAGTAAGAGACTGGAAAAAAAATATAAAATGCTATATTCCACTGTGTTTGTTCTATAATATTTTATTTCAGATGCTTCTTGATTAGTTTCAAAATGAAATATTTTTAGAAATGATACATATTGTTACGAAATGTAAAGGCGCGGTAAGATGACTTCCCCGCAAAGCAGTTTTAGGGTTGCCATAAAATGGCAAAGGAGGACAGGGTTGCCATATTTGGCGAGAAGTCGCCCATTTGGAGATGTTTGACGACAAAATTGGCGATATACCATGGACGGTTGGAGAACCTTCTGGAACGAATTCTTACCGGTTTAGCCCAGAATGTTCCCGAACACAAGCCAAAAGCTATATAAACCCTGCTGGTCCGCAGTCAGTTAGTGTGTCTCTCATCGAGTGTGTCTGTGTCTCGTTTAGCGAGCTGATAGTTAGTCATTGAGCGAGTGTCTCGAAGTCTAACGCTAAGGTAGTCGTCGAGTGCATCGAGAGAGTATTTTAGTTCATCGCAAATTAGTGCATCGTCGAGTTTCGTCATAGACTGTGCTGGGTCGAGAGCTATACTCGTGAGCATCGTGTGGAGGGTCTCGAGAGTACATGAGTTCCGAGAACAACCAAACAGAGTTGGAACTGTACTTTGGCGCTTTGCGGTGAAACTGTCTCCACCGTTATTGCCTGACAATGTGAAGGCTGTGTCGTTGTTTGTTCCAGAGTATTTATAGTAGATTTTCGACGACTGTAAAAAGTGATTTTGGAGCTGTCCTGAGACCATTGGTAAATAAAGTGTGTTTCGATACTTCATCAAGTGTCGTCGTTATTCACTCAAAATCTACGAACCCCGTACGAACGCGAACGAAGAAAATAACGTAACAACTGGTGTCAGAAAAGGAAAAACGTAACAATATAGTCTGCACCAAACAGAGTTAAAATTTTAGAAGTTGTAGAGACATTAGGTTGTTTTGAAAGCAGGAGAGATGAAAAATAAGCAATGTCCTCGCCGGGCACGAAACACGGACTTCTGGAATACGCGCCGAGCGTGCTGACCATTACACCACGAAGGCATGCTAAAAAGTCGGGAGAAATATCTTATAAAGTTAATATATAAATGTCTGTTCGCAGCTGGAATAACTATTTTGTTGTATCTATAAAATTGCAAGGCTTCATACTTTACACTTTTTCCCTTATTAAAATTCTGTAAAAGAATTCAGTATTAAATTGAGACAATTTTTACACGTTTATTTCGTATATACGCTAATAATTTTCTCTTTTTCATACTAAAATGTTCTGCTGAGGCAGGGGAGATGTATACATATTTTAAAAAGTAGTACTAAAAATATTGTTAACAAAATATATATATTCGAGTTGTTCACCTTTTGCGCAAAGAGAGATTTAAAAATTTTTCTTTGGACTG